ATTCAGCATCCAAGAGTTATCTACAGTACAAAGTCCCTAGCCAAAAACTCTCAGAGAAGAGGTACACTACTTGGTTATTAGTTACAACTACATAACCCATAAACTACATACCTACATAGTGGCTAATGCTCTACTGCAACTGCAACTGTAACTGCAAAGCTGGACATACAATGCTCCAGTTATATTGGCACTCCATACCCCCCCACTGGGTAACTAGCATACACACGCCAATAGGTGGCTGTAATTAGCAGTATACGTGCACAACACACATGTCACAAGTTGTTTTGTTTACATAAGCTACATAAGCTAGACATAATATTGTTGTACAGATAACAGGATGAATTTCTTCCCATGAGAAACTCCTGACACTTCTTTCCAGATCGACCGGATCCTCTTTGACGCCACGAGATTCTCGGTCCCTCTTTGCAGCCACAGATTCAGGCAACTGTTCCTGCGCTGGGATCCCTTCCCTTCCCCCCAAGACTCCCCCAACAAAGGAGCAGCAGAAAGAAAGATGGAGGAGGCTCCGTCCCTTCGTTTCTTCTGCGCCTCCATCTCCTCTTGGTCCCCCTCGGGATCCTCCACTGCGTTTTCTGATCCTGGGAAGTGAAAGTGGGACTTGCCAGCTGCCCTTTTCCTGGGGAGGCTCCTGCTAGAGGGCAGGGCTCCATCCCGGGGGAGATGCAGGGACCCAGGCTGACATTGAGGGAGGGGAGAAAGGGGGCAATTCGGGGGATTTTCTTTCCCTTGAACACTAGTGAAGAAATGGGAGTGCTGGTTCTCCCTCTTGGAGGATTTGGAGGCATTCACACAGACATGGAGGACTCCTGAGAGAGCAACAGGGGCCATCTGTGGGGGGCCAACCCCTCACAGGCCCTGGACCCTTTTCCTTCTGGGCCAGGAGGTTCTCCATTTTGGGGGGCAGTGGGGGAGGGGCAGAGGCTGGGGAACCCCTTGCCATCCCCCATTCCTTTGGGGAGCAGAAGAACCGGAGAAGGGCCCCTGAGTTGGGTTCTCTCAAGGAAAAGGAGGTTGTGGGA